ATGAAAACAGATCATTCATGCCAAACAGGATCCTTATTCATGGGTCAAGTTGTAAGGGACTTGGGCTCCCACCTCAAAATGTTAATTGGAGCCTACACATAATTAAAACTGCAGTTCTCACTTTTCTGGAAGTCATGTAGCCCGGAATCTTTGCAAGACGTAGGTTCACAGCCCCGCCTTTCCTCAAAGACGTGTAGTGTAAGGGTAATGAAAATGGTGAATGGTGTACAATGGCCAACAGAACCCTGCAAAAGAAACTGTTGAAAATAATGTCTAAATTGTGTGGTGGGTTCTTTTTTTAATGTGTGAAGTCCTTGAATCAAAAGGGTCAGAGAAGGCCAATGTTTTATTAGCAGCTATAAAAGGCTGTATTTTGAGCTTCTCTGTGTAAGTATAAGTTCTCCATAATGATTAAAGCTATCTACTGGCTGGCTTCCATCTCAGCAGGAGAAAATTTTCTTGGTGTTTCTTTCGCAGTGGTAACAGTATGATACTTCAGAAAAAGAACTTTTGGGTTTTTTAAGTGGAATCCCTACTGCGCCCTCCTAATTTCAAGTTATCCCCTGCCTGTTCCATTTAGTTAAGTAATTTAACATTTTAAAATTAATTTTATGCCTTTTACTCAAAAGTAATTTAGAAATATAACTTAACCTCTACATTATCATCTCCTTTTTTTTTTTTTTTTTTTTTTTTTTTTTTTTTTTTTTTTTTTTTTTTTTTTTTTTTTTTTTTTTTTTTTTTTTTGTTACAGCAATAGCTAGCTCAGATTTTTAATTGTGAGGAGCTTGAGTGCATTACTGAAGTAGGGAAGGATTCTAAAAATTCAAGTCTTTATTTAGGGAAAAAGTGTCACGCTACCAAAACCACATTATCACCGAATTAAACTGGTAGTCAGTTAAAACAGTCAGGGCTAGTGAGAGAGCTGGTGTTATACCATTCATTGCTGGAGCCAGGTTTGTGCCACCTCCAGCTGCACCTGATCCTTGGAGCAGGTGGCCACTTACCCCACTCAGTTTGTCTTTTCCAGGACTGGAAGAAGTTTGAGAAAAGTCTTACATGACATTTCTGCAAGGTCCAGTCCAAAAAATCCCATCAGTTTTCAGTCTCTCCCATGGCAGATTGTTTTCATTGAACATATTCCTACAAACGCTTTCCTACTACAGTTGCGACCTGCTTACGAGTCTGAAATTCAGTGACTGCTTTGCAGATTGTTCCATTTGAGACTATTTCTTTTATTTCAGTATGTGCAGAGCGTGTGTCCAATGCCACTTCCTCCACTTCTTTTCTTAAATGTGCTTCCATTCTGGGAACAATATTCAACATATCCAATGTGAACATTTGGATAAGTATTCTTTTGGTGAACAAATCTTTGTATAAGGTTTAAAAAAAATGGAATTTATTTCTTTTTCATTCACCTATATCTGTCTTTTCTGTGATTAGCCATGCTTGTAGGTAAAACAGCTTGGGAATGGTGTGGGTGTCTTTTAGTCTTCTATACTTCATTGCAAGGCCCCACAAGAAAGCGAAGCAGCAAGAAAGACTGGAAAATGCTGCCTGGGATATGAAGCTCTGTCCTGTCCTGGGGCAGCCAACTGCATCTTTTAACCTCTTTCATGATTATCTTACAACCTCATAAGGTCTGTCTGGACTGTTTGCTCCTACACTTCCTACAGGAAATCTATCCCACTCCTCCCATGCTCCAGGGGTTGAGGGGTTACAAATCAAAGTCACTGCCTGAATTTCTTCTTGGCTCGATTATATGAATTTGATTTTTGTGCTGATATTGATCTCTATCTAGTTATTTCCCTTCCTATTGTACTTAACCCCTTAAGGCATTCACAACAGCAAGTTAATAATTATTCTCCCTTTATTTAAGCAAATTTGTTTAAGGAGTCTCTGGCCTTCTTTAGGACACATGGTGTTTACACCCACTTGCCCTGTTTCTTGCATATTCGCTTTTCTGTTAATTTTTACTATAAAAGGAGATAATACACTAAATATTAAGAAGAAATTTTACACTGTGAGGGTGGTGAGACACTGGAACAGATTGCCCAGTGAAGTTCTGGATGTGTCATCCCTGGAAATGTTCGGGATCAGGTTGGATGGAGCTCCGAGCAACATGGTCTAGTGGAAGGTGTCCCTGTCCATTGTCGGGGAGATGGAAGTAGATGGTCTGTAAGGTTCCTCCCAACCCAAACCATTTTATTATATATTCTTTTAACAGAAAGAAGCATGCTGGACCAAATAACTTTTGGGAACACAGCCTGGGGCTCTGTAAATCCAGAGGGGACATGGGGTGGGCATTTCCATTTAACAAGCTTTGTTGAATTGAGCAGGTCCATGTGAATGCCAGAGTTTAGAGGTTAGGATGAGCACGGCCACATGCCAGAACCTCTGCTCCTGCCTCGGTGAGCAGCGAAAAGCTCCATGTGAGCATGCCTGGCAGCAGAGGTAAAGTGAGCTGGACTGTTTGGATACATCTGCAGTGGCCAGTAGCACCCTCATGCCACCTGTGAGAGCATCAGAACAGGAGAGGAGCTGCTGCTGCAGAGCACACCCTGCCTGCCACTGCCCACCTGCTGGTCCCTGTCCCAAGAGATGTGTGTGCAGCTGGGCCACCTGCACTCATATGGGTATGAGCCAGAAAAGGGACAAGGTTATCTTTAGCAGAGTATTTTTTTTGGCCATTCCCAGGGTCTGCATTTTCACCCTTAGGGCAGTAACAGTGGTGAGAGGGCCCTAACACTGTGCTCGTTTCCCTAGTTTTCTCTATGAAAGCTCACTTGCACTTCATTTCTGTTCAGAAGGTCACCATTGATTAAATATGGTCAGAACTGTAGCACAAATTGAGCCATGTAGTATTTTCCTCTGTCATTTTTGTGGAAATATACGTTGGACTTGATTTGTGCTTCTATATCTAGAGAACAACACACAGAAGCACACTGGAATTTATTTCTGAGAGTAGAAATACTGTGTTGGACTTTTTAAAGTTAAAACATACTGCATGTGTTTTCATATTTGGTTCAATTAAAGAATAAAGGGACCACTCCCTATCATGTGCATTCTCTATACAATCGTCTCATTTTCTGAATCAGAATCGTGGCTCTTACAGACCAACAGCTGCTGGTGGCACAGTGGTGGCAGGACCCTGAGGGCCAAGCACAAGTGCAGTTCCCCCTCCCCCGGTGAGCTCAGTTTCTACTGGTGGTGCTGTGATGGGCTGCCCTCTCATATTCCAGTTGCAAGTAGATTAGCAAAGGTTGGTTACATCTCTGTCTTTAAAAATCAAAGCAGAACAATATTTAAGCCCACCCTTTCCAAAGGAAAATCTGTAGGGCAGTCATGCACACGTGGGAGGAAAAGGTTTCTTTAGAGCCAGAACTGCATCATTCCCCTTCATGATCATCTTGTTACTGATGAATAAAGAGTTTTCCATAGAAGCCATTTATTAATTAGAAGTTAGATTAACCTCAGAAAATTTTTCTCTTAAGACAGTGAGAGCTCGACCACTTGCAGAAGCTGCCAGTCTTGCCAAATTGCTTCGTTTTAACAAGAAGAGCTGTAACACTTCAGGGCTGATCAGCACTGTCCACATGAGATCTAGTTCATGCAAGGAACAGGGTAGGGAATTTTTTCTTCCTGGGAGTGGGTTCTTGTCTTCTTGTCTGCCAGGAGCCCCAGCACAGGCTCTGGAGGGCCACAGGAGGGGGATGCTCTGGAGGGTGTTTTGCAGGCACAGTCTGGCTGCAGCTTCCCAGAGGAGTCCCTTGAGTTCTCAGGTCCACCATAGGGATAGACAGAGCTGGGCTGACTGGAGGGTGCAGCTGGGGCTTCCATAGGCATTTCCCTCCCACTGTAGCTGTCTTGCCAGCACATACTATACCTTCACCGGGACTTCTTTTTTTCGGGATGTCTCATTTACCAGGCACTGTGTGGGTCCCTGGGAATGATGTGCAATAAAATAGTGAGCACCAAGACATAGCAGCAAAGGGTGTGTTTGAGGATAGTTAAAGTAAAAATGTGAAAAGAAGGAAAAAAGTTTATCTAATTCCCTTCTTCATTCTTTAACTACTACTGAGCTCAGACAGAACAGCATGTGACCTGCGCACAGAGGACTGTGAGTGATGGAAGTGGCACGAGTGTGTGGTATCTTCTGCATTTGTAGGACATGGGCAGCCAAGAGATGGAACACTTGGGGGTGTTGGTGGATGAGAACTTCAGCATGGCACAACAGTGTGCACTTGCAGCCCAGAAAGCCATGTCCTGGGCTGCATCAAAAGCAAGGTGGCCAGCAGGTCCAGGGAGGTGATTCTGCCCCTCTACTCCCCTCCCATGAGATTCCCCCAGGAGTGCTGCATCCATCTCTGGGGTCCCCAGTGTAAGGAGGACGTGAACCTGTTGGAGCAAGGAAGGCCATGAAGGTCAGAGGGATGGAGCACCTCTCCTATAAAGACAGGCTGAGGGTTGGGGTTGTTCAGCCTGGAGAAGGCTCCAGGGATCCCTTAGAGCAGCTGTCTAGTACCTAAAGGGGCCTCCAAGAAAGCTGGAGAGGGACATTTTTGCAAGGGCATGTAGTGACAGGACAAGGGGTAATGGCTTTCAACTGAGAGTAGATTTAAATTAGATATAAGAAGGAAATTATTCTCTATAGGGCCAGTGAGGCACTGGGACGGGTTGCCCAGAGAAGCTCTGGATGCCCCATCACTAGAAGTGTTCAAGGCCAGGCTGGCTGGGGCCTCCTGGCCTGGTGGGTGTCCCTGCCCACGGCGGGTGGGGGGGTTGGAGGTGGATGGGCTTTGCGGTCCCTTCCGTGACGTCCCCGTTGCCCCAGCCGGGCCGCGGCTGCCGCGCTCCGGCCCTGTCCGCCCCGTCCCGCCCCGCTCCGCCGGGCCCCGTGGGCGCAGGCCCGCAGCCCCGCCCCGGAAGCCGCGGGGCATGGCGGTCGCGGGGCGGCGGCGGCAGCGGGAGCGGCGGCGAGGCCGGGGCCGGGCGGGGCGGGCGCGGCGCGGGCGAGCGGCGGCGGGCGGCGCCCCCCGGCAATATGTTCAAGAGAATGGCAGAGTTCGGGCCTGACTCGGGCGGCAGGGTGAAGGTGCGGCCGGCGGGGCCTCGGCGGGGGTCGGGCCGCGAGGGGCAGCGCCTTTCTGACTGTGCCTGTCTGGTTGTCTCCCTGGTGTTTCAGGGCGTTACCATTGTGAAGCCGATCGTGTACGGGAACGTCGCGCGGTATTTTGGGAAGAAGAGGGAGGAGGACGGCCACACTCACCAGTGGACGGTGTACGTGAAGCCGTACCGGAACGAGGTACGGCCGCGCTGCTCAGGGGAGGGGGGTCGGGCGCTGGAACAGCTGCCCGCGGAAAGTGGGGAATCGCCATCCCCGGGAGTCTTCAAAACGCGTGTGGATGTGGCACCCAGGGACGTGGTCTAGCGGTGGCCCTGGCAGCGCTGGGTTAAGGGTTGGACCCCGCGGTGTTAGAGGTGTTTCCCAGCCCAAGCCATGCCCTGCGCTGTGGGGAACGCCAGGCGAGCAGCACTGGAACGGGCCGGGGTCTGGAAAGTTGGGATTTGAGAAAAGGGCAGAGAGGCCTTGTGGCATAAGCAGAGGAAACGAATAGCTTGGTGGCTTTCCAAAAGGGAAAAAGATGGGGAAAACATTTCTTTTTACGTTTCTGGAGTAATCTTTATAGCTTAGGGGGAAGAGTGGAGAGCATTCAGGGGGACAAAATACCGACAGACCTGTGTGCCGGTACTAATTTTTGGATTCACTATTTTGCTTTCCATCTGTGTTTAAAGTCAGAAGAAATACTGTGCTTGTGTCAGAAGGAGCAGTAGGCATGTAGGATAGATGACTAAAGAGTAGATTGGTGTGCTGTATGAATAATCAGAAATACCACTGTTTCTGTTTTAGGACATGTCTGCCTATGTAAAAAAAATTCAGTTCAAGTTGCATGAAAGCTACGGTAATCCTTTAAGAGGTAGGTTTTGCTTTTGGGCATTTGTTCCTAGAACTGGGCTTTTGTTGCAGTTTTTTATTCCTTTCTGTGTTCCACTGAGGCTTTGTCATTGGGTTAACTCTTTTGTGTTTCCTACTGCAGTTGTTACCAAACCACCATATGAAATCACCGAAACGGGCTGGGGTGAATTTGAAATAATCATTAAGATATTTTTCATTGATCCAAATGAAAGACCTGTAAGTACATTGAACTTTTAACAACACTTAATTAATTATGGTGGCCTAAAGCTGTGCTCTAGGACATTGTTGGTCAAAATAAGTCCCATTGGCCATGGAACTAATAAAGCCTGTTCTTGTAGAAAGTGAATTTAATGATTGGCCACGTTTTCCTGTTTCTGTGCTTTGCTGCTGCCATTCATGACTGCTTTTCCTACACTTGGCTTCTCTGACATTTACTAATATGTGACTGCATGTTGCACCTTACTTGGTTGAGCACACGCTGGTGATTTCTATTCCATGTAGCTTCCTAGTTCTAGGATATTTGAATATTTAAACTTTTTTTTTTTTTTGTCTGTCAGATCAAAATCAGTCAAAAAGCAGTAAAGGTACTATGCTAGCATTAGTCTCTGCCCCAAGAAAACCAGGTTAAGACATTCCTGTAGTTGCATAAAGCACTGGAATTAATTTTTCTTTCCTCCCTGCGTTTTAGACGTATCTTGTAGGTTTGTTTATATGGGTGTAGGTAGGAAACTCGATTACTCTATTTTAGGGGAAGAGGATGTTTATTTCTGAAGGACTGAGTTACTTCTGTAGCATGCTTTACAGCAGTCTTTTGCTTTATTCACTTTTTGCTAAATGGGAGGGAAATTGAATTTTAGATTTTTCTTGAATATGCGACGATTGATAGAAAGGGCTTCTTGTGCTGTTGTACTCAGTAGCATCGTGACTTGTCATCCTAGTTCTGTTCACAGCTTGACCAAGCTGTCTTAAAGTTGGTTGGGTGTTTTTTTTCTTTGCTGCTGTTCTTGGAAGGCTGTTTCAGAGCCTGTCGTGTTCTCCCTTTCCAGGAAGTACCGAGTGGAGTAAGGTATTGCTCTGTTCCATGACCACTCATGGGGCCTGTTTGTGGAAGGGGAGAACTGTGGGCTGTGTGTCCTTTACCCAGGCCATGGTCCAAGTGGTTAGTGGTTCCTCAGGGCTGGACAGAGGGCTTCCATTCCTCTCCCCACCCTTCCATGTGCAGTGCAGTAATGGAAGAGTAACTCCATAAGGAGAGATTTCAGGGAAAAGCTATTCACAAGCCCCCCTGGTGTTCCTCTTTCATGAGAAGGGATGATAAGGTCACAGAAAACACTTTCTAACTGATGAATTGGGAAAGTTTGCTTGAATTAAATCACCAATTTGGAAATGTTTGAGAGAAGGTGGTAGTAGTAGTAGTTTTTATATATACAACAGTGCTAAGCCACTTGCCCAGACACTCTTAAAGTATCAATAAACCTTTGGCTAGTTGGCATGTTTTAACAATTAATATCGAATAGAAGTAATTCCACTGAAGCTATATGACATTTATTTTTGCATTCCTAAAAGATTTTTAAATCCTATACAATTGTTTTGTAGGAACAAGTGCTACTTGTTGGTATCTATAACAAGACTTCTATTTCCCTACAATTGTCAAGCTAATAAAATTCTGTCTTTGCATAGGTAACCTTATATCACTTGCTGAAGCTTTTTCAGTCGGATACAAATGCCATCCTGGGGAAGAAAACTGTAGTTTCTGAATTCTATGATGAAATGGTATGAATGTTTTTAATGTAATCCTCACTTTATTTTGAAGAGTATTAGTGATACTATGTATTTTTCTCCTTCATTAGATATTTCAAGATCCTACTGCAATGATGCAGCAGCTGTTAACAACATCTCGTCAACTAACACTAGGTGCTTATAAGCATGAAACTGAGTGTAAGTTGAAAATTAAAATATTTTAATTTTAGAAATAAACAGTAGTTGGTTTTGCTTTTATTGCTTTTCTTTTCCTGGGCTGTAACAATACAATGGATTTGGATACTGATTAAAAAGTGCTATTTTTACATTAAATTTAACTTCAACTTTTGCAAAGATATTAATACTTATTTGAAAACTTTCAAGATTTTCTGATCTGTATGCCTGAAGAAAAAAAATTAGGAATTACTCAATATGAAGAGTGACTGCGTGATCTACACCTAGTTTAACATCTTTGAAATGAGTCAAAACCAAATAAATGAAGGCCACCCCGTGATATAGTTCTGTTCAGCACTAAAATAAGAACAGTTAGTGGTGATGTTTAAGTCAAAGCAGCAGCCCTTTGGGAATAAAGAGTAGTATCTGAAAGCTGTTCCTGTTGTTTTCCCTTCTAATTCTTGAACTGTAGGTAGTTTCATAACATACTTATTCAGTACAGCATAATGTTTTTTGTGTCCTTTTTATCTAATTTGTCTCCATGTATAAACAAAAATATTAAGGGAATTAAAGAAATTAAATAAAGATCCTTTGGTTCATAAATTTTAATGCATTTAGTGATAATTTCTGTTCTGATCTTCTGGATTTCATCTCTTCTACTCTCAGAAAACAAATGTAATATTTATTGAGCCCAAATCCTGCCTTGTTAATTACAAACTCTAATGCCATCGTAGTCCAGCTCACCTGGCCTTACGTTCACCTGACAACAAACGTCAAGTATTTTTTGGACAGCAAATGCCTAGACCTAAAGAGTAGAGAGTGATTATGAGTTTGAAGCTCTCAAAGTTCAGCTTGTGATTTGCCTTATGTCTGCTTGGCTGTGTGGATGTGCGAGCTCCGTGTATTTTCTACCTCTGTTTAGCCAGTCTTGAGGTGGATTTTTGTTATATTGCATGTAGTTGTGGTTTTCATTTAGAAAATGTGTAATAACATGATTCATAAAAAAGTCCACATTTAAACATTTCTCACTTCAAATTTTTGGGTGTTTCTCCAGAGAGTAGATAGAAACTTTTAGTATGTTTTTTGTATATATATTTCCTTAAAATGTGCCACGAAAGCAGATAAAATTTGCCACTGCCCACGACTGTGTAATGTATGGGATATGAAAGGATCTCTGTGGCCTTCTAGATTTGTTGGCTGTACCATCTCTGTCCAAAAACTTGTACATGAAAAAATAATAAAAAAAACCCGATACTTGATGTCAGGGATTTGTAAAAGCAAAGGCAGCATCACAACTGTTTAGATATGTAGAATTAAACTCCGGTGAGACAAAAAGTAGAAGGTGATTACAGTACATGGAAAAGGAACCACAGAATGGTGGAGACTTGAAGGGACTTTTAGTGCCATCGTGCCCACTCCCTGCTCAAGTAGGGCCACCTACAGCTGATTCCCCAGGATTGTGTCCAGACAGCTTCTAAATGTCTCCAAGGACGGAGATTCCACAACCTCTCTGGGCAACCTATGCCAGCACTTGGTCACTTTCACAGTAAAAGTTTCCTAAAGTGCTCAGAGGAACCTCTCACGTTTCTGTTTGTGCCTATGGCCTCAAGTGCTGTCACTAGGCACCACATATTCATAGTTCTCTCTAATTTCCCATTTGCTGTCACCATGTCAGGTTTTATTTAATCTTAGAGAAAACCTCTAGAAAATGATCTTGTGAATTGTGTAACTCCATCCACAAAACTGATGGGCTGAGGGCTGAATGAGGCCACAAAACAAACTTCCTGAGTCTTTTTAAATCCAGGTTTGGTTTTGGATACCATTTTGGTTACAATCATTGAAACTCTAAGGCTAACGGCACTAGTTTTTTTTTCAGGACACACACTATCAAAATTAACTGTTTCACTTAAAATAGTTACAACTTTTTGTGGTATTTATAATATTTATTTTTCTTTATCACCCACCACAGTTGCAGATCTTGAATTGAAAACCAGGGAAAAGCTGGAAGCTGCCAAAAAGAAGACTAGTTTTGAAATTGCTGAGCTTAAAGAAAGACTAAAAGCAAGTCGTGAAACCATCAACTGTTTAAAGAGTGAAATCAGAAAACTTGAAGAAGATGATCAGTCTAAAGATATGTGACAAGTGTGGACTTGATAAAGAGCCTATGCTGAAAATGAGAGGACTTCAGTCATGGAACTGTATAAGTTCAATTCTGTAACCGAAACTATGAGAATTTCACTGGCAAGTGATTGAAGTTTGTGGCAATCAACTTCATAAATGGAAGAAAAAAGAAAGAATGTATCCTTGTTTTATAGTTAAAATCTGTGGGTACTTAACAACTTATTTCAAGTAGAGGGGGTCTCAGACCAGACTACTTTTTTTTTTTTTCTTTTTAAACTACATTTGAGTCGTATATGAAAACTTTGTATTAAGTCTTGTATTAGTTCAATGTTATTTTACAAAATGCTGGTGTTTACTTTTTTTACTTGTTTTTTTTTTCTACTGATTGTTTAGAGATGCATCTTTAGAGCTAAAAATAAAATATGCAATTTTTTATTTTAATACTTTTTGTCTCCATCCACCTGTGGAAGTGTAAGGAACAACTGTAAATAGCATACCCTGATTTAAGGCAGAGGTTGAAATACAGTGCTACACAAGTTGTTTAAGTCTGGTTACAGTGATATTGCCATGTCTGTTACCAGCACAGTTAAAACACTTTCTGAAAACAGGATTCTAAATAACTTCTATATCTACAGGTAAGAGTTTCTAGCCTCAAGGCTGCTTTAACATATATAAGTGCATCAGTTCTGCAAGCTGTGCACAGAAGCAGATTTGTAGGAGTTTGTTTAATACTTGTACTGTACTTCAGTCACTTCAGCAAACATTGTTTCTGCCATTCCTTCCTTCTTCCACTCTTCCCATGTTCCAGCATGGGTCCCTCCTACAGAGGACAGTCCTTCATGAACTTCTGCGACATCAGTCCTTCCTATGGGTTCCAGCATGGGTCCCCTGCAGGGTCACAAGTCCTGCCAGCAAACCTGGTCCTGCGTGGGCTCCTCTCTCCCCAGGGCTACAGGTCCTGACAGGACCCTGTTCCACTGTGGGCTTCCCACAGGGTCACAGCCTCCTTTGGGCATCCACCTGCTATGGTGTGGGGTTCTACACGGGCTGCAGGTGAATCTCTGCTCCACCATGGACCTTCATGGGCTGCAGGGGGGCAACTTCTCACCATGGTGTTCACCATGGGCTGCAGGGGAATCTTGGCACCTCCTCCCCCTCCTTCTTCACTGACCTCAGTGTCTTAACAGGTGTTCCTCTCAAATATTCTCACTCCTCTCTCTACTCTGATCTTAGCAATGCTTTGAGAACAAAGCATTCATTTCTTCATATTTGAAACAAGTGATGATTGGCTTTTACTATGGCTTGGTGAAGATTTAGAACTCAAAGAGTTTCATCACTCCCTATGTGGACTTCAGCTTTTCATTAAGAACAGCAACAAACTTGGCATATTTGGTTTATGGTATGTGTAGACATAGATGAGGAACAGCTTGTAACACCAGTGTCCATGCAGATCCTTCCTAGCACTGCACACTCTCCACATTTTTCTGGCTCGCTAAGTGCTTTGGTTTATTGATTCAACAGCCAGTTTCCTTTTAAGCAGCAGCTGAAGAAGTGAGAATTTCACTTCAGCAGAATGCCATTTTCAGAGCTGTGCATTGAAAATAAGACTTGGCATGGGTCACAGTGTATTGTGCATGCTGAAACAAAAATGCACAATATGGAAAGCACAATTTTGGTGATACTAGGTTGTATGCGATATTATATTAATCAGTTAAATTACTACCGATGAGGACTAACTCAGATGGAATATTAAACAAGTTCTGCAAGAGCTGTAACTAACATGAACAGGTCTGCTGAAACAGACTTGAACAGACCAAAAAAGAATAGAGATGAACCTTTTGAATCCAACTTCTTTGTAGGAGCCTAAAGTATTCTTTTTGTTTACATCTTTAAAAGCATCCAATAGACAGCCTCCTATCCAACTTAACAGAAGCAACAATCCTGGCTCCATTGTTAGTAGCTTGCTTCACCAGTGATGTAGTTTTTGTTTGTGGTTAGAGGTCTTCTTTTCCTCTGTTTTTCTTTCAACTTTTTGTGTTTCTTCTCCTTTGTGCTCTCTGCAAAGATCACAGAAGCATCATTAGGCTCCTCTGTCAACAGTAAGGCAAGAAAACAGTCCTTTCTCTGCTGATCAGTTACTGTTGATAGACAACAGCAAGACTATCTTGTGCTTTAGAAAGTTCCCTCTTATGTTCTGTGCTTTCATTAGAAAATATTTTCTTTAGATGCTGAGAAAGCAATTAAGCCCTGTATTAGGCTGTAATTAAATTCTGGGAGAAGGTAATGAGAATTAATCATGGAACTATAGAGTCATAGAATATCCTGAGCTGCATTGCCTTGAAGAAAAACAAAAACCCAAACACTATGCTCTGCTTTACAGTTGGCAGTTCTACGAAGTCCCAGACAAATAGTTATGGATTGTGCTTACCAGGGTGCTAACTTAAATGCTACCTATTTTTGTTGCTGAGACTGACTTCAGACTATGGTTTCATCCTGAGTTAAAATTATGAAAGAAATGTATTTAAATCTTGCTTTGCAAAGGAGGGGAAAAAAAACTCTCACTGAGCTGTAGGTACACTTTGATATTGCTGAATGACACAGTAATTTGTTCAGGTTTTTTACACTGAAGCTTTAGGCTCCACTTGAACTGGTGGGTAAAGATAAAACATGGTTTATCTCAGCTGTAAGCGTGGTTTACATGCTTACTGTTATGAATTTTACCAATGAGGAATGTTTACTTTAGGCATCAAATATGCAAAACTAGTAGTGTCATTGCCTCTTCCACTATAAAGGCTTGGGGTTTTAAGTGTTTCAGCTAAGACAAATTAACACTGATCACAGTAGTTTCAGACACTGACTGGTTACTCACTACCCAGTGTTATGTATGACTAGTCCTTTTCTTACCCAGCTCCATCTCGTATAATACGTTAGTTCTTTCCTTTGGGTTTGGCACACTAAGCCTGTGAAGTTGTATAAGGCTGTTGCCCAGGAGGTTTCCCATGAAAAGTGCCATTATCTGACAGGAGACGTGTAGATACAGTTAAGTCAAAGATTTACTTGAGAATTTTTGTAGTTAGTAGAGACGGGACTAGAAGGAATATTAAGTCACCCTGTTCATTTTCTTCCTAGACAGGTGCTGGTAATAACACCAACTCTTTGCTGTTTATGTATTTAATTCATAATAAATATGCCAGTGTTTGTTTACTTCTTAATGGGGATACAGATTTAAGAGAATTTCAGGTTGTTTTCAGACATAAGGTTATTTCCCAAACACCAGGTGGCAGGTATGTCCAAAATATTCTCCAGTCTCAACAGCAGTTTATTGGGAATTCGGCAGATTTGTGATATCTTTGGTTGATCTCATTTTCTTTGAGATTTGATCATCTGATTAGACAACTTGTATTTGTTTCTGTAGAGATGACCAAATTATCTCTTGCATTTTATGAAACTGTTTGGCAGCCTTGCCAACAAATCAAGTGTGATGTGCCAGGAAGCACAAAAAAAGTGTTTGTTTACAAGTTTCATTTCAGCTTTCAAAACACAGATCTTAGGGGTTGTTTTCAGGTTTGTTGTGGTCTGGTTTTTAGTCTTTTTTTTTTTTTTTTTTTGCTTTTTCAGGCCAAGATTGTGTGAGATTAAGATAACTTAGGCAGTCTACTGGACTGCATACTTTGCTTGCACTCAATTGCTTGTGTTTTAGTTGCAGGTCCAAAATGGCAGGATTTTCTGCAAGTAAAAATAATTAATCTTTTAAACTTAATGTCGATAAAGGCAGTAAGCTTCTTTGACTAATTAATGCTTACTGAATAGTATGAATGAACCTTTGGCTTCCAAGTGTGTTGAAACTTCTGATTTTCATGAATATAGCAGGGAAGAACAGCTACAGTGAGGGAAAGAAAAGAGAATTAGGATGGTAGAAAAGAATAGCAGCAATCAAAAATTCCTGTTACATATATTTGGTTGGGATTTATTTAACATTCATTTATGATATATTTATACTATTTCCATTTTTAAATATTTTAAGCTAGAACATGAAACCATGTAAGCTTCTAGTGAAACAGTTTTGCCTATGCAATAGCCAGTAAACATCCAAAATTAAAATTTACATTTAGATTTTTGTACAAAAACCCTCAAGAATGCCAGATGATTAGGCCATAAAAAGAATTCATTAGCATTGCAATATGCAGTATTTGTCCTACTACCCCACTAATAATTACTATACTTTTTAAGATAATTCATTTGTTAAATGAGAGGCTGGCCCTTCTTATTCCCACAGCTGTGGGGAATTCTGTACTCTAGGACAGAAACAAATTTCATCTGATCTACTGGCTTCTGCTTTGCTAATAGTTTCACCTGAAGTGTTCAACATCTTTTTTTCTTCAATGTATTACTTCTGCAACATCTGGCAAATTTCATGTTTCTTTCAGTCTATAAATCAGCTTTATTTCAAATAACACATTTTATTTAACCTCTGATCTAGAATGTTAATAAAATGCATGGGTTTTATTTTAACAGGCTTTTAAGTTTCTCAGTGAAACATTGTTATCTTTATTTTTAGGATCAAGAAACAGGATATATGACTTCAACCTGCTGAATTAAGCAGACAGAATTGCACCTCAATTTAAATGACTCCAAACAATAGATCATAGAATCATTTCACAGTTAAATCATAGTTTCTAAGCTTGCATCTTTAAGCACTACCATGCTGGGTAAATAGAAGTATTTAAAGTGGGTAAAACCAACAAGGTTTATGTCTCTCTGCTTGTAACAAGGGTAATTACTTTTGGACTCCAAATTTAGAGTCCAAAATAGTCCAGCATAGTGCTGCACCCCTGTATTGTTCCATGCACTAAGTCTGTTGAACGTAGCAGGGCCAGCGTGTGGCTCCTTCTTCCTCTCTATGCTTGCTAAAGCAAGAATTAATCCAGGTAATTTTTGTTTTAATCACTGTCCTGATTAGAGTGATAACTGTGTCTCACCTAAAGCTCCATTCAGGTCATAAGCCACCTGAACTTTGAGTAGGTGGTAAGGAGAATGATGAGAAGTTAGGTTTGAGGAGCTTGCATTTAACTTTTGGTGTTATTTCCTGCTTTCTGTATGGAAGTTTGTGCAGTAGTTGAAGCATTTTCTTGGTAAGCTAAATATTCCCAAGGAAAACTGAATCTGAATCACAGAGTTTTAGAAGTTCTTAACCATGAGATCATGAGAGTATTCCAGCGCTGCTGCCCACAGTGAGCTGTGAAAGTCAGCTCTGCAAGATTTCTCTAGGGAGACAGGGAACAGGTGAAGGAAAACTATAACCTCAGTTAGTAATTAGGGCATTGGAAAAAAAAAAACAGTGCTTTTTTTTCAAGCTGAATAAAGCCACCATCTCAGAAAAGGGTTACATCCTTAGTAAATGAAATATCTAAATTAGATCGAATTGTTTTCCCATTACCTTCAGAAGTTACATAACTTTTTAGTGATTGTAGAATAAATGCATATATTGGACAAATTAGAACTGATTTTTTTCCTTCTTGCTACGGGTTAAGCATGTTTGAATGGTGAGGCAGGATTAAACCAGACAGACTGAGTTCCAGCACCCTACTACATGGTGTTTAAAGTGATCAAAGCATCCATTGCTTTGCAAAGCTTTGTAGTTGCTCTGAATCTTTCTTTTATAGTCCTTATCAGCAACAGCCAGGAGCTGCAGTATTTGATGAGCATGGGCATTGCCCTGGATTATGACAAAACATTGTGGGCAATATCAGAGGGCAAAACTGATTGATATGCACTCAACTGCCAGGCCTGCAGGTCACCATGCTCCTCTCAGGTAGTAGTTTTTACTCTTTGAGTATCTCATCATTGATCAGTCTGCTAGTCCTGTGTCCTGATAGATTCGTTCTACATTATTTAACAGTCAGGAGCCTACAGTTTCAAATAGCAAACACAGACCGTATGAATTTAAAATAAACTGTGTTTTCAGTTTTGCATATTTTTTATTAATAAATTTATTTTAATTAATAAAAAAAGAAATGAGTTCTAGTCCTTAGCTGAGAATAGAGAACATACATTTCTAAGATTGTGATTTCTTTCTAGTATTCTTTTTCCCCCTCAAGAATAAAAGGCAGAAACAAAGTAATTACTTTTTTGGAACAGGCTGGCATGGTATGAGTATTTTAAAATGGATAGGCAGTAAAACTTTTCATGGATTCATTGCTTGAAAAGAGTTTCCTCATGTTTTAATCTGATGTCATGTGGTACGAAATGCTTGCAAATGCCCTGCCTTTGTGTTTGGAGCTGGAATTGCTCAGTACTTCACTAGACAAACCTTACCTTCAATCCTTGTGAAGTGAGTGGGTTTCCATCAGACCTCTGGTGAATGATGGTAATAAATCAGTGAATGAAGAAGCCATATTTTAATAGTTGAAGGGTCACTTAGTAATGTTTTATATTTCTTGATAGTTTAGACTTTACAGCATTCCTTTACAGGTATTAAGCTAAGGCTTTGGGACATCTGAAAATACCCTATGCCTGAATTTAAACACATCCCTTTTTCAATTTGTCACCTAGCCATTGCTACTGCATGCCCTCTTGTTGACTTTGCAGTAAAATTATTTTCTTGTTGTATATTTTGTACATTTGCCCAAAGATTTGCTTACTTCATAAGCTCCATCGCTCTCTTTAGTTCTATGCTACACCTCTTTCACCCCTCAAAAAAGACATAAAGCAATTTATAACCTGTTTTTTCTGCTGCTGTTACTTCCTGAGCTTTATCTGACACTGATGCTGTAAAGTGCAAGCTTTAGTCTTATCTAAATCTAGAGACAATTTGTGTGACAACTCTGAATATATTTGTGATAATCTAACAGCTGTCCACATTCAAGCATGTGTAACTTGGTTAGCGGCCAATATATACCTGTGTCACATCTCTGTGATCTTGTGTAAAAATAACCCCAAAAAACCAAAAAACCCTGTGGCTGAACCTCTATCATAGTATCCCTTATACAAAAAATAAAATTTGCTGATCTACTGTATTTTAAAAATAATGTTTTTTAAACACCATCTAATGCTAAATCATTGATGTTTTGCATCAGATGCTTGTTATCATTACAACTTTGGTTGGAATTTCTGTCTAAGAAAACCTCCCCACCACATAAATCAACTCAGGTACCTGGGTTCATTCTGATCTCTTTACTGCTCCATACTCCTACCTGGTTTTTTGAGGACTGACTGTGGTTTACTCTACTTGGATTAGAATTGCATCCAAAGTAACTTCAGTAAAGACACTCTGTAATTGCAAACCAGAACTGGATTTGAAATAACATTCTCATGATCAAAGATTCCAAGAAGCTTTTGTAGTAATTGGAGAATAACAACTATATAAAATGTGTTTGCTTCTCATATTTAAATGAAGCATAAAGATAAAATGCATGAGAGGCATATTAAATGAACACACAGATACTTAATCTGATAAGACCAAAGCAATTGAGTGGGATTTTAATTTAGGCATTTGACTGACTTTGTAAAAAAAAAAAAAAAAGTTTTTGAAGTAATGCTGGCTTTGTTCCATAATATCTGAGAGGTTCACTCAGTTGTGGATTGCTCCACTGTGCTATTCCCTTCCCTGATGATTTATTATTATTTATATTGTATCCTGAGAATACTGCACATGTAAAATGCACAGGCAGAGTTCCAGGCCTGAAGGCCTGCAATCTGAACAGGCAATATAGGACGGGTGGTATAATAAATTGCAGTTCTTTACTTCCACTGTAAGCAATGTCTTTCAGCTCCAAAATTATACCCTTCATCCACTTTGATCTGAAGAAGTATTCAGGACAGTTTTCATCCTGTGGCAACACAACTCATTCAGACTATTGTGGATAAGTGAAGCAACTGCTGTCTATGAGTTTCACCATCTTTAACAAACTAGACTAATTTAAAAAAAATTAGTATTCCAGGAAGTACTTGCAATGGTTCTTATGCTTTTGAAAAAGGAGAGCTGGAAATAAGACTTGAGCATAATTTTTCTGAAAATCTCCCATTTGTAGCAAAAAGGCTTTGATTTGAGGTATGGAGTGGGCATGCAGTTGTTTGGTACAGAACTAAGTAGCCTTTGGAAAAAAGCTTAAGAACAAAAACTCTAAGCATCCTGCTTCATTACTTTGACAAAATAGGCCTGTAGCTGCCATTTTTGAATGCAGAACAAAAACCCCAAATACTTCAGGCTGCTTCACAGAAGTTACACAGACAAGTGGGTCTTATTTAAGACCAGGATACCCAGCCTGCCCTGAGCTCTGACACAAAAAACAACTATTTGAACATCTCAGAAAAGGCCAAGCGTAAGACAGAGAGAAGGAAAAAAACATTAAAGATCGTCCCCAAGTCACCGCTTTGGTTCTTCTGCCAAAATGAAGCTCTCTGCCGTGAGGGGTCTGAAGCTTTCTTAGCAGTGGAATGAAGTTCCCCAAGTCAGACTCATAAACTTCAGCTTTTCTCACTTCACCTTGAAGGTCTGTTTTGTTGGGGTTCTTTAGTGTAAACACAAGCCATTTTTTTAAAACGCTTCATTAAAGCAAAAACTGTTCTGTCATCTTTCCCTCATCCTGCTAAGATGCAATATGGAATAACAAATGCATTTGAGACAAACCTCTCTCTATAACAGTGTTAGCTAGTCCTACTTGAATCAAACTGCTTTGCGAAAAATTCTATCAGCAGCACTTCTTGGTCTCCACCCTTCAGACTCCTCCCCATACTTGTTTCTGCGTGAGGGAATAATGTTGATATATATTTTGATTTTGTCCCTAAATTGGCTTAAAATACATGCTATTATATGCTACTGAGGGGAAATCTAATTATTTCTGCTTAAAATAATTGTTGCTTAAAACATCATTACATCATCAAGTCTGCTTTTATTTCCCTTGTTTCAAACAATTATGTAGTTTGCTTCTACTGGCTTTATGTGTGAATTCAGGAAGTCCTGAAAGTGAGAAATAACATAAGGGATACAAAATGAGGCAGTGTAAAAGCAGCTTTACATTCTATTACCAATAATTCTGCTTTGCCATATTTCATCTTTTCTTCTTCTACACCTCTTCTGAGGGAACATGCCCAAAGTTTTCTCACAGACTGATGTTGGCTGTCTCAGCTCAACTTCAAAAGTTATTTTTTTCAAGGGTTGGAGTGGTTGCTCCCTTTGGATGGTCTGTTACCCTCACTTGGTGGTTTCTGCCCACATGGGAATAAAGTTCTTGCTTTCCTTGAGAAGTCTCTACCTCATACACTGGGGGAAAAAAAACCAAAAACAACTGGCATTTATGCTTTTCTTCTCTTAAAATGCCAGGTTATGATCAGTACTTCACCAGCAGCTTCATAACCTGAGCCTTCCCCCAAGCAATGGTGAGACCCTTTAAGAGGAGGGCAGATGGTATCTTTCACAGTCCTTCCTTCAATTTTCATCTGTCTGTATAAATCACAAGGCTCAGTTATCCACTCACGTCCAGATGTGATTCTGGAGTACGTGGGACAAAGGCATATGAATGAAGGAGAGCAAAGCCTGCTCTACCAGTGTTCAGAACAGCTGATCGTGCACTTTCTTTGACCACTGCTTTCACTAACAAATTATGATTAAGAGGCAGAAGAGTAATCCTGCCAATGTGAGCTTGGGTTCCCTCTGCAGATTTACTGCTGAGTAGGCAGAGTTGTTTTGGAAGACAGAGAGTGTGTGTTTTACTGTTTTTCAACATGACAATTTGACTTCTTCATAGAAGCTTTTATTTCTTGCATGAAGTAATATATCCACCCCACAGAAACTGCACAATGTCACCTGAGTCCAATTTATTTCACTATTTACACCAAAGTTAATATGAAGTAATGTATTTTATTTTTTCTACTGTAGATAAGAAAATCACTGGATTAAAACAAACACCATTATATCTGATTTTGCTAAATCAGGTCTATCACTTGTAGGGGAAAAATCCAGGTTGCAATTTTAAATGTTCCTTTAAACATTCTTCCTGATCATACCCAAAAGCAATTTTCTGGGAAAAGACAGGGTATCACTCTCATTGCACAGAACACAGGAGTTTCAGAAAGGCAGACATGTAACACTGATATGTAATGTAGATTAGAATGTAACATTGAAAACCATTTCCCAAAGACAATTCATTTATTCTGCCACCTACAGCGTCCCTTAGTTATGCAAATGACCAAGTAGAGCAGCGATTATCTGCCTGTGATGGATGCAAGTTTTTCCACTACTGCTAACTTACATTTTTTAGAAGATACCTGCTGCCCCTGTAGGCACCAGGTCTCCTCTTTGTGCATGAAAAAGAAGTTTATTTAAATGTAGTCTTGGAACCTGGAATGATTGATTCATCCATTCATGAAAAGCATTCTGTAAGTTGTAAGCTGATGGCAAAATACACACAGGAACAGCTGTTCTAGTAAAAGTTTACAAAAATTTGCTATTTTTCTTCCCTCAAGGTCTCAGATCTTGCATGTCGCCATGTTATCACCAGACTTTCTGCTACTGCCATGCTTTTCCTGACTGGAAACCATGGCAGGACATATTCTTGAAAGGATGCACCCCCAAGGAAAAAGTAGTGTTATTTTTAACATTTTCTCTCTAGTAGTCACCATTCATAACTTACAACATATACTGTGAAAAGACTGAGAAAACCATTGATTGATTTAAATCTGCCTTAATTTTTGACTAAAGGCAAAAACTTCACACACTGGTGCTTAATCATACTTCGCATCATGTACGAACATGCAGTTTTCCATACAAATTCCATAAGGTGTTTAATCTGCTATTGCAAAAATACTTATTTGCATACAATCACACCCTGCTGTGGTTTTAAATGTTTTTTTGAGAATACATTTTGAACCTATTATCTTAACCTCACTGCCTTTCTACCCACATACAGACCAACAGACATGCAAACCCTTTAATTTTTATTCAGGCCTGACTGTAATTAAGTTGAAGTGCATTTGTTCTTTAAAACTATAGGACTCAGCTTATTCCATAAGTATTGCTGGTGAATACACTTTTGATAAGTTGCTGAGCTGTAGCAGGGTCTTCAGCTTACAAACAGAAGTTCTTATTACAGGAGAAAACAGTGATGGGCAGTTGTGGGTGTTTCTGTAGTGTGAATTGTTTGTTCATGCCATGCATGGCAGATGTTGAACAGAAGCAGTCAGCCACAAACAACACTATCTTATCTTTCAAAAATCTTAACCCAAGTACTAAGAAGCACTGACCCTAGTTAGAGACATCAGGGTGAAGAATATCTTATCACTGA